AGCAAAGAGTTGTTGAATGAACAATAGTTGCTCACTGCCTGTTTGATAATTAGAATGAGTCAAATAAAGGCATAAGGAGCCTGGCTCAAACCAAACAAAACCAAGTAGTTTTTACAGTGTGTTGTTTGCCACAAGGCATTTACAAAGTCAGCATTCCCACACCCCAGGTTAGGCAAATCCACTGAAGAAAATCCCACCAAAGCCAGGAAATACAAAGCACCTCCTCTTGCTTTGGAGGTCCCCGAGCACAACACGCTTAATTCTGGGAGAGCACTATTACGTGCCTACCCTGCTTTTACACACTTCTTCATGCATGTGCTATCAGCAGTGCTGGACACAGGTCACCAGGCCAAATGTGTCTGATTTGATTTGATAGACTCGCTGTTCTGATTTCTGCCCTGAGTATGAACAAAAGCAAACTGGTGATCTGGGGGATGGTACAGAGCCACTACTGGTGATGTTTACAGATGACTTGACAAATTGTGGATTGATAAAATAATGACCACGTTAGCCTACGAAGTTATTTCCTTGTACAACATGAAAATCAGTCTATACAAACACAGAGGTATTTCCTGTATCTAAAAGAAAACAACTTGAGTCATGCTTACAGAACCAGGAGCTAATAATGGAAATCAGTTACACAGAAAATAACTTGGAGAAAACCAGCTAGAAGTCACTACCAAGAATTTATGGTAACGAGTGAAATGCTGCTGCTGGTAAGGGAGCTAATGCACCGCTAACTGAACAAGGGAGGAGTAGTGATCTCATTCATTTCTAATGCAGCATAAACACTGGAAACCTCTTGGGGACCTTCCAGATCAGAATGTACATCTTTGGAACAAGACATGGAAGCCAACACTACAGAACAAGAAGCCACTAAGAGAAACATGACCTAATTTGCTCAGCCACGAGAACTACCTGACCACAGCGTACAGGCATCTGTAGGGGAAGACATTTGTCACCAGAGGATGGCACAGTAAGATCTACTCGAAATCTACTCTTAACTGAATGCATTCCTAATAAAATCAAAGCCAGGCAAACAGAAGCTAGGCTATTTCAGAAACAAAAAGAACGCCATATGAAAAGAGCACTTTCTTCTCTCCTCCCCTAAGAATAATAAAAGGCAAGTTAAAGAGGCACGACAGCAAAGGAACACAAAGGAGCGTCACTGCCACGTACCAGATTTTGCAGGCACGGAGTCACTGGCCGCCTTGACGGCCTTCAGAAGGACATGCTGATTCGACGACACGGGCATGCCTGCTCTGCATTGCTGCTGCTGTTGCTTTTGCTGCTGCTGTTTCAAGGCCTGGGGAAGAGGACAGAAGAACATGAGCAAAGGGCAATTCAAAATATTCTTAGAAATTACTAGCACACAATACAAACCCCTTGTTTCACAGTCAGTAAAGTCAGCTACAGACAGTTGGGTTCTGATTCCAGCTACGCCAAAAGTTCAAAACGACTTCTGAAATATGTTTGCACGGGGCACCAATACTGTTTAAATCCACTACTGAAAGTAGATGCATTTCCTACCTTCGCATCTAAAGCGAAAAGTCAATGGTTGTAGAACATCTAAAGTTGTGGTGTTTCATGAGAAACAGTCTCTAGAGAACGCAAAGAGAAAGGATTCCAAATCTGGAGTTGGTTCAAGAAGCAATTCTACAAATAACTTCAAAGTAGAAGTACCATAATGTAATCCGTTTCTGTCTCCTGAAGAAGCAAGTAGCAACTTACTAAAACCTTCAGCAGAGACACTACCCATTAGGAAAGACTTTTTTACTTAGGACAGTAACAAAGATTAAAACACTAAAGTGAAAAAAATAAAATCCTTTGTTTCAGAAAAGACTGTTAAGGCAACCATGACACAGCCTAGAAGGCAGAAAGGACTACGAGAAGGAAGGAAGAAGGCAATTTGGTGAAACTGCAGCAGTTGCCCAAACCAAAGCGTCTGTTTGCAAAAAATGAAATCCAAACCCAAATAAACTTAACAGCAGAGTAACTTGCGACAGATCAAGTATACCGCGGAATTTCGAAATAGGAAGTAACGGGAAATATTATGCTGCATATATACAAATGAGTGGGACCGTTAACTAGAGATCACCACCATCTTAAATAACAACGCCACCACCACAGTTAGAACGAGGAGAGAGGTTAAAAATATGCAGGAACCTGCAGAATCTGCCACATGAGGGAAACAGGAGACAGGCTGACTTTCAGTTTGTAAAGACACAATGAGGGAGACTGACAACGAAAGGATACAGATAATGGACAGACACGTTAGATTCCTATTTTCCAATTTATTGAATAGTTCCTATTCAGCCACTTGTACCACAGGTTAAAAAAAAACAGTCAGCCAAACTGAAACACAGCAAAACTGAGAATCAGTAAGAGGAAGTATTCTCTGCAACACACAATTAACCTCCTGTTATTGAGGTCAAAAGCTTTCAAAAAAAAAGAAAGATAAAAAGAGAGACCTGACATTCATATGAGTAACAAAAATCCATAAACAAGCTCAAGAAAGCTTTGACAAACTCTTCTTTGAAGATGAACCGCAGGCAACAGTGAAAGTCGCGAAAGGACTAGACTACGAAGACCACTGGGATGCTCAGGGGGTTGTGTGAATCCCATACTTCCATTATGCAAATCCCTTCAAACACTGCAGGGTTTGTATATTCAGTTCACCTAGTCTGTGCGCCATTTAATTGCTGCATTTTTCTCGGCTTAGGTAAAACAATTCTGCTTTTGTTCACTGTGCCACCTCAGTTCTTGGTCACGCAGCGCCCGAGCTGCCCACACCAATGGTGGCTGAGGCATGTGTGGGAAGAGGAGGAAACAGTTATTCATTAGATACCTCTTTTTAAATTCCATGTCAGCTTCGCACTTATGTTCTCTTGTTATAAACATTTGGGGATTTCTTTAATAAATCATAGAATCACAGAATCATTCAGGTTGGAAAAGACCTTTAAGATCATCAAGTCCAACCGTTAACTTAACACTGCCATTCCCACTAAACCATGTCCCTAATCTAAATTTATATTGAGTCTTGTCATAATCACAGAATAATTCTGGTGGGAAAGGACCTCGGGAGGTCTCCAGTTTGATCTCCAGCTCAGAGCAGGGGCAGCTTGGCCTCCGCTAGGTCATGCAGGGCTCTGGCCAGTTGGGGCCTGAAAACCTCCAAGGATGGAGGAGGCACAACCTCTCTGGGCACCCGCTCCATCCTGGACTGACTGTCCTCACGGGGAAAAGTTTTTCCTTACGTCCTGTTTTCCCTTACACCATTCAACTTAAGCCCATCATTGCTCACCATGCCGCTTCCTTCACCTTTTTTGTGATGAGCCTGGCTCTGTCTTCTCAATGACCTCCTTGTAACTACTGGGCAGCGGGAAGGGGAGAGGCCCAGCCCCCCCGTAACACCCCAGCCCAGGCCCAGCTCCCCTCAGCAACTCCCTTACCAGATCCAGCCCCCCCATCACACCCCAGCCCAGCCCCAGTTCCCCCAAAACACCCCAGCCCAGGCCCAGCTCCCCTCAGCAACTCCCTTACCAGATCCAGCCCCCCCATCACACCCCAGCCCAGCCCCAGTCCCCCCAAACCCCCCCGCCCCAGCCCCAGTCCCCCCAAACCCCCCCGCCCCAGCCCCAGTCCCCCCAAACCCCCCCGCCCCAGCCCCAGTCCCCCCAAACCCCCCCGCCCCAGCCCCAGTCCCCCCAAACCCCCCCGCCCCAGCCCCAGTCCCCCCAAACCCCCCCGCCCCAGCCCCAGTCCCCCCAAACCCCCCCGCCCCAGCCCCAGTCCCCCCAAACCCCCCCGCCCCAGCCCCAGTCCCCCCAAACCCCCCCGCCCCAGCCCCAGTCCCCCCAAACCCCCCCGCCCCAGCCCCAGTCCCCCCAAACCCCCCCGCCCCAGCCCCAGTCCCCCCAAACCCCCCCGCCCCAGCCCCAGTCCCCCCAAACCCCCCCGCCCCAGCCCCAGTCCCCCCAAACCCCCCCGCCCCAGCCCCAGTCCCCCCAAACCCCCCCGCCCCAGCCCCAGTCCCCCCAAACCCCCCCGCCCCAGCCCCAGTCCCCCCAAACCCCCCCGCCCCAGCCCCAGTCCCCCCAAACCCCCCCGCCCCAGCCCCAGTCCCCCCAAACCCCCCCGCCCCAGCCCCAGTCCCCCCAAACCCCCCCGCCCCAGCCCCAGTCCCCCCAAACCCCCCCGCCCCAGCCCCAGTCCCCCCAAACCCCCCCGCCCCAGCCCCAGTCCCCCCAAACCCCCCCGCCCCAGCCCCAGTCCCCCCAAACCCCCCCGCCCCAGCCCCAGTCCCCCCAAACCCCCCCGCCCCAGCCCCAGTCCCCCCAAAACACCCCAGCCCAGCCCCAGTTCCCTCAGCTCCAGCCCTGCAAGGCCCCACTCTGCCAGCCCGCCTCTGTCAGGGCCTAGCCAATCAGGAAAGCGCTAACTACCCCACACCCACCAATCAGGCGGCAGCTTGCAGGTGGGGTGGCAGCGCGTCCCTCGGCGGGTCTCTCCACAGCCCCCCCAGCATGGCGAGCCCTGCCGCTGCCCGCCGCCTCCTCTGGCCCTGGCCCGCCGGGATATGATTGATTCTATGACTCTATGATACTCCCGCTACGCCCGCGCCCAGGGGCTCGTTATTTTCCTTTTGTTTGCCTTTACGTTGTCCTTCGTTCCCCCGGAGCCCTCAGTGGAGGGCAGATGTTCCTCAGCAGACACAGGCGCGTTTGCACAAAGGGCAGCTCTGAGGGACCCCCACCCCCTCGCCCCGCGCCGTCGAGGGTGGAAACGGCCGCTTTATGCTATCGAATTGAAAAAAAGCGTAATTCAAAATGGCGCCGCTCAGTCGGCATCATCAGCGCCTCCTTGAGCTGTCATTTAAACAAGGACCGTACGTCGGCAGCACGCTCCTGCCCACCGGCTCCGCTGTGGATGACAATGGCGACCCACTTCTTGCTCCAGACCTGCCTATGGTCTCTGGTAATGATGTTAAAAACCCACCGGGAGGCACCTAATGGGGAAAAATGCATATTGTACAGCTGCCTTCTTCATACAGACGGTGACGAAAAGTGACTATTCACCCACGGGAGAGCTTTTGTAGGGTGCGGGCCAACCCAGTCGCTGGCCTTATTCATCCCACTGTACGCGGCGACAACAGACTGAAGTGTAATGGGTAAAGATGGAAGCCAACGGTTGTATGAACCGGAGAGTGATCATTTCTAATCTTAAACCACCATAGAATCATAGAATCATAGAATTATAGAATCACTTTGGTTGGAAAAGACCTTTAAGATCATCGAGTCCAACCGTTAACCTAACCCTGCCATCCCACCACCAAACCATATCCCTAAGCACCTCATCTCTCCTTCTTTTAAATACCTCCAAGGATGGGGACTCGACCACCTCCCTGGGCAGCCCATTCCAGAGCCTGACAGCCCTTTCGGGGAAGAAGTTTTTCCTAATATCTAACCTAAACCTGCCCTGGCGCAGCTTCAAACCATTCCCCCTCATCCTGTCATCTGTTCCCAGGGAGAAGAGGCCGACCCCCACCTC